AAATGAATCTGAATCTGAATCTGATTAAGCGTCGGTGGCATCTCCTTCTAGTGTAATGGAGCGGCAATCTCCGTATACTTGGGAGAGGATGCGGATGAGAACCTTTTGGGAAGTCGTGGTACATGATTTCACAGAGGAACTATGGATCCAAAACTTTAGAAAGACGCGCACAACATTTGAGGAGCTGTGCGAAGCGGTGGGACAGCTTGTGGCTCCCGCTGCACACTGCCCTAGAGAGGCAGTTCCCACAGAGAAGCGCATTGCCATTGCAATCCATTGCAAGCCATCTACAAACTGGCTACTTGCGCGGAGTATTGAGTAGTGGCTGAGACATTTGGAGTGAGCAAGACCACAGTCCATCGGTGTGTTTACGGGGTGTGTAAGGCGTTATGTACAAAACTAATGAAGAAATACATCGCATTGCCAGATGTGAATGAGGCAAAAGACATTGCCATGCGTAATTACGCAGCGCACGGCTTGCCACAAATCTACGGAGCAATCGATGGATCACACATTCGTGCCCCGAAGGATGGCTACAGGGATTACGTTAACAGAAAAGGGTGGCCATCCATTACCCTGCAGAAGAAGCGGCGCCAGGTTTGCAATTTTGGGTAGGCCTGCAGATTAGTAAGGCCAAATTCGCTTGCAAACTACAAGGGGTAGCTGGAATTTAGGTTTCAAATAATATGGTTCAAACGCACGCACGCACGCACACGCACTCAAGCACACACATACACACAAGCTCATTTATGAAACTTGCGTAGAAAAAGGTGTACATTTTGGGTGAATATTTCATTTACGAAAAATCCAACGTCGGATTTATGAACGTGTGAGATCCACCCAGATCTGAGCGTATACGCAGCTGCGGGTGTTGATAAATCGGCTGAATACGAACGTATTTATGAAAGTCACGTCTAGAATTATGCAGCAATCGCGTGTTTAACGCCCCGTCTTCGTGACAGGTCAGCAGGAAGCCGGCCTAAAAGACTGTTTGGAAGCCTCAAAAGGCACGTTTGTTTGTTCATGTTTATGTAAAAATAAATATACTCTATATATTCAGCTGCGTTTTGAACAAATTTGCAAAAATGTTTTGATACATTAGAAAAGTCTCTCTTGAATTGTAGAAGTGAATAAATATAGATTGATTGAATGAATGAACGAATTCATATATATTATGCAGCGGTGGCTCTGAATGAAGCCTCTGCAGCGTCTTGGACACAGCCTGGCTCGGGGTAGAAGTGTGCACTGAAGCGCTGTACACTTAAGAGAGCGTTTGCGGTCCAGATTTCACAAAGAAACTCTGGAGCCAAAACTTCTGCACATTTGAGGAGTTATGTGGCCGACCTCTCATGGCGCCTGCTCTGCATGCATTCCCAAGAGTGTGCAGCGGGTGGACAGTGAGACATTTGGAGTGAGCAATACCATAGTCCATCGATGCGTTAATAGGGTGTGTGTCTGTGTGAGGCTTACACATATCTCATGAAAAAATACATTGCTTTACCAGATGTGAGGAATACAAATAGCCGTGCGTACTTACGCAGCGCAGAGCCTGCCACAGCAAGAGCTTCCCTGACGCGTAAAGTGTGTTTATATAGAGCCTTTCACTGTCCAGGATCACAAAGCGCTTCACCTTTAAAAAAAACATACAGATCAAAATAATACTCACAGAAGTCAGATTTAAAATCATAGAAGAGGCTCCTCATCATGATCCTCATAGAAGAGACTCCTCCTTATGATCTGTGATTTATTCGAAGTTTGCATGTTTCCAGAGTGTTAGACTTTTTCTGATGCACGATTTAAAACACGATGCTCAATGAAAATACAGTTTATAATTTTGCCAGAGGGAATATTGTTGTCCATATCTTAAATTCCTTGCGTGTTTTGGCGTGTTGTGCCGAAGGTTGAGATCAGCGTATACATTCACGCCACCTCCAGACCTGGCGTATATTTTTTGCGTATTGTGCGCTCACGTCCAGAAAGATAAATGCGGAAAAGTGTAATATTTTGCGTACGCCTCATTTACCCTGATTTGGCCGTACGCAGGTTTCATACATGAGGCCCACAGTGAGTTTCACACAGGCCTAGAGTTTACCTCATCAGTGCGAGGCGAGCCTGGCCTGACCGCGCTCTCCTCCTCTGGGACCTACGGGCCCGGGCCTCTGGCTCCTCTACCTCACAAAGTTCACGCTGAACTTTCTTAAAACTAAAATGAAAAAGGCTGCTCTGTTGTGAATGTTTTGAGAGCGTTGTCAATCTTTAAGACAAGGAATAGCTGTTGTTTTCGGGAACGAGCTTTGCGCTGTGTGATATGATCATGCAGATTATTGGACAAAATTGTTCAGCCAATAAACAGGACCATATTTGAAGCAACGTAGGAACGTGATGACGCTCAGGGGGTTATATTTTCTAAAAACATTAGAACGCAACATTTAGGCAATAATGTGTGTATAAAAATAACAAGCGTAAAATTTGCCATGGCTTTTTGTATCCTGCCTTGTTCATTTCTCTTTCCAGGTCTTTATAAATCTTTGCGTTCCTTTGCTGCTTTGTGTCCAATATGTTTGTAATCCCACTTTCCCGAATTAAATTTAAAAAGTAATTAGTTTCCTCGTGAGTCCAAACGTAGCGACTCATGTTTCCTTGAGATGCTGCTACCTGCTACTTCCTGTTTTCTTCTTCTGTGTTTTGGGATTATCAACACCCGGCTTCCTCCGCTATATCGAAATAAGTGTTTCCATTGCCGTTTTGCGAAAAACTTAATTTCGATACGTCCAAAAAAACCACCGATTTTAAGCGCATTAACTTTTTATCGAAAAAATGTAATAAATTCGTAATTTGTGCGTTTCCATTAGACATTTTGAGATGCGCAAATTCAAATTTCGAAATTTGATGCTCAATGGAAACGCAGCTTATGACTGTCTCAAATCCGTTGAGAAAAACTGCAAGTGCATCCTATTTTCAAAACATCCAGAGCCAGCGCTGGTGGCTCGATTAAATATGCTCTAAAGCTAATCCCCACACATATTAGATATAATCGACATCTATGAACATGAAAACAGTGAAAAGCAATCGACGTTTTAATGCGTAAATGGCACACAAGCTTACTATTTCCTTTGATGTATTTGTACGTCCATGGCAGACAGTGAACGTTATCTTGTGGGCAGGGTCCAAGACCTGTTTGGCTCATGGACATGGTATTGCTTTGTGACGATTGCTCAAGCTTGGGATACGTTGGAATCCAAATTAGGCAGATGCTTTTTCCATGCAAAATAACAGTGCACATTTATGTAAAAACATTTGATTGAGCTTGGGTCTATCTTCTATCATAAATGTTTTCAGAAGAAAAGCGAAAATGAGAGGACCATCCTGACTCAGCCCAAAGTGTCCAATAGACCCTCACGGGGCACAGATGAAAAAAAAAAAAAAAAAATTCACAGGAAGACTGAAACTATGCTCTTATGCGATGTTCAGACCGGATCATGCGTTGCGTCGGCTTTCAATGCAAAGTCAATGGTGACGTGCGTTTGAGCGTCAAACTGCATGTGCGTCTCAGGACGCACACACGGAATGCTCGGTAAAGACGCACAGACTGCGCGGCGAAGTTGCGGGGAAGGTGTAGGAGCGCAAAATCGACGCACGCAGGAGATACATTTTGCTGAGCTTTTCCTGGGACGCCCGTGCAGCGGGCAATCAGAGAGCCGCATAGAGGTCACAGGGACATTAGCGGTCTGAGCGAGCGGACTGAATATGACTGTTGGCTGAAATACCCAAAACAGGAGCTACACCAGGACAAAAAAACCAGGGTTGACAATGGGGGACATAGTGCTTGTGAACATATGAGTTTTCATGCTCCCGTAACTTTATGCAACTGCTTCGAGCGTGTTCGCCGATGCGGAAGTATCGTTTAATATTAAAATGAACGTATGGCGCAGCTCTGTGAATACATACTGATGTTATATATGGTCTCTCGAAGGTCTCTGAACACAGACGCTGCAGAGCTGCATTATTGGAGAAGAACTACACAAGAAGCCGCTAGCTTAAAGTGATTGTCTGGAGTTTGTCAGAAAAAGAGAGAGTGAGGTACTTCATTTGAAAAAAATGACGCAAGTTCCCTCCCCCTTTCTTTCTGATTGGTCTACGCCTATGTTTCCGTAACGCATTTAAATGTTAATTGGAAAATGCATTATACATTTACATTATAAAAAAATAATGTTTTAATGCACACAAAAAAACGATTGCGGCAAACCCGGAAGTAGCAATTATTATGAATTGCACATTATAGGACACATCTGCAGAGGATCTGATTATGGATATAGGTTCAGAATATAAATGGGTAACTCAGCGCAGATGTTCAGAATTCTTTGTTCAGTTTTCTGAACTAAGAGGCTTGATTTCGGAGGCTCCGCAAAAACAAACAGCTGAGCATGCGCAGCTACGAGCATCAGCGCTGATGATTGACAGCCCTTGGCATCACTTGATTGGTTAACGTGGACGGCATTGTGGATTCTGAGCTAGAGCTAAGAGAAGGGAAGGCGGGACTTACCCGTAATATTAGAATTCAATTTTATATCAATATTTAAGGTCAGGAGGTCAATTTACAGTTTTTCTCTATTGCTACAACACAAAACCCAGTACTCTAAACCAAATGACCAATTGCCTAAACACATTTATTAAAACTTCCCCCCACTTCTCACAACCATAAACACAATTCTCCTGTAGACACTGTTCACAAAACACATGCCCTTTTTCTCAAAACTCAAAACACATTTTTCTTTTTCTAAAACACTTTTTTCCTTTGCTAAAACACTTTTCGCATGTATCTCTGCTCCTATAATCATTGTGAGGCTCATGTGATGAAAAATGTCTCCCACTGTCAGCAAAACCTGAACACAATGAACAGACCTGGTGTCATTCAGAAAACACAACCACTCAGAACTGAAAACTCCTGCTGCAAATGATGTGACCACACCTTTATAAGTCAGTGCAGGTTCCAAACAACAATGGATGATCAAGGAAGAAGGAGAGGAGTGTCAGAGGAGGGAGAGGAGCAGGTCAAAGAGGGAGAGGAGCAGGTCAAGGAGGGAGAGGAGCAGGTCAAAGAGGGAGAGGAGCAGGCCAAGAAGGGAGAGGAGCAGGCCAAGAAGGGAGAGGAGCAGGCCAAGAAGGGAGAGGAGCAGGTCAAAGAGGGAGAGGAGCAGGCCAACAAGGGAGAGGAGCAGGTCAAAGAGGGAGAGGTGCACGTCAAAGAGGGAGAGGAGCAGGCTGTGAAGGGAGAGGAGCAGGCCAAGAAGGGAGAGGAGCAGGCCAAAGAGGGAGAAGAGCAGGCCAAGAAGGGAGAGGAGCAGGTCAAAGAGGGAGAGGAGCAGGTCAAAGAGGGAGAGGAGCAGGCCAAGAAGGCAGAGGAGCACGTCAAAGAGGGAGAGGAGCAGGCCAAGAAGGGAGAGGAGCAGGTCAAAGAGGAAGAGGAGCAGGCCAAGAAGGGAGAGGAGCAGGTCAAAGAGGGAGAGGAGCAGGCCAACAAGGGAGAGGAGCAGGTCAAAGAGGGAGAGGTGCACGTCAAAGAGGGAGAGGAGCAGGCTGAGAAGGGAGAGGAGCAGGCCAAGAAGGGAGAGGAGCAGGCCAAAGAGGGAGAAGAGCAGGCCAAGAAGGGAGAGGAGCAGGTCAAAGAGGGAGGAGGTGCAGGTCAAAGAGGGAGAGGAGCAGGCCAAGAAGGGAGAGGAGCAGGTCAAAGAGGGAGAGGAGCAGGTCAAAGAGGGAGAGGAGCAGGCCAAGAAGGGAGAGGAGCAGGCCAAAGAGGGAGAATAGCAGGCCAAGAAAGGAGAGGAGCAGGTCAAAGAGGGAGAGGAGCAGGTCAAAGAGGGAGAGGAGCAGGGTCAAGGAGGGAGAGGAGCAGGCCAAAGAGGGAGAGGAGCAGGTCAAAGAGGGAGAGGAGCAGGTCAAAGAGGGAGAGGAGCAGGCCAAGCAGGTCAAAGAGGGAGAGGAGCAGGCCAAGCAGGTCAAAGAGGGAGAGGAGCAGGCCAAGAAGGGAGAGGAGCAGGCCAAAGAGGGAGAGGAGCAGTTCAAGAAGGGAGAGGAGCAGGCCAAGAAGGGAAAGGAGCAGGCCAAAGAGGGAGAGGAGCAGGTCAAGAAGGGAGAGGAGCAGGTCAAAGAGGGAGAGGAGCAGGTCAAAGAGGGAGAGGAGCAGGCCAAGAAGGGAGAGGAGCAGGTCAAAGAGGGAGAGGAGCAGGTCAAAGAGGGAGAGGAGCAGGTCAAGGAGGGAGAGGAGCAGGTCAAGGAGGGAGAGGAGCAGGCCAAGAAGGGAGAGGAGCAGGCCAAGAAGGGAGAGGAGTAGGTCAAGGAGGGAGAGGAGCAGGTCAAGGAGGGAGAGGAGCAGGTCAAGGAGGGAGAGGAACAGGTCAAAGAGGGAGAGGAGCAGGTCAAGAAGGGAGAGGAGCAGGCCAAAAAGGGAGAGGAGTTGGTCAAGGCGGGAGAGGAGCAGGTCAAAGAGGGAGAGGAGTAGGTCAAGGAGGGAGAGGAGCAACATGTATTATGAATGCACAGGAAATGTAGGTACCCCAGCTTTAATTTAGTGAGTTTTAGTTTCAGGGCGACAGGTGGAGACATGAGGCTCACATAATTCAGCTGTGTTTATCTCACAGCGGTGGATTTATCGCGTCCACAGGTTGCGCAAAGATCCGCACTTGTCCTGTCCGCGCTGGTCACATGGGAATCAGTCCCTTGCAGCACCAGAGCATGTGGAATCCAGTTCCACGTACATACTGTTAAAAAAAACAATAAGTGTCCCACGGTCACGCGCGCTCTCCGTGAGGGGGGGGGGGGGGGGATACTGTAGTATCTATTGTGTGTAATGGATCCATAGAGTTACTCATGTTTGCATTGAGTTGTGATATAACTGATTTTCTGCTTTTTGTAACTATTCTCATAAAACGCACAAATCTATAGTAAATGGCCAAAATATATTTGAGAATAAAAAAGTGTTTCTCAAATGCATCCTGGCAGGAGTGATACTGTAAAAAGAACAATCTCACATTCTGAAAATTGTGTTTTCAATTGTTTTGGTGATGTGGTTAATGATGCTAGTGTTCACATTTTTGCAAACCATGAGAGGTGTTTTGGTGTGATGGGTTGGTTTTGAAAAGAGACTGTGTTGTTGTGTGTACGTAGCTTTAGAAATAAGGTTTGTGTTTAGAATTTTGAGAAAAGGGAGGGCAGTATCGTGAAATGTGTTTAAGCAATAGAGAAAAACTGTAATACAATTCTTAAAATTTTTAATTTATTTAGAGTTCCAGACTATCACTTTAACTCATTTAGCATCGAAGTCGCCGGCTACTTTTGCCACTCCCGGCGCGCCACCGCAGGCCAGGACTTCTGGTGTGAAGTCCCCTGCAAAAACAAGAGAATGTGCGTCTGGTGCGCGAGGCTTCAGCGTTCCAGCATTGGCGGTGTGAAAGCAGCTTTAATATTATTTATCGAACAAAAATATTAGTGACCCCAGATTTAATGGATGGATATGAAAGATACTTTATTGATCCTCTTTTCATGTGTCCAGCAACAGGAGCACATCCATCCATACAAACAAATAAAATAAAAACATTATTCTAAACATCCCTAAAAATAGTAATAAAGTGCAACAGGACTTTAGGTCGCAGCAGCTGCGGTGTTGTTGGTGCTGGTGATGAGCTGCTTGCTATCCTCTGGTTCTTATGTGGAGTATGTTTGGTTCCGATCATTTTCTCTGCTTTGGTTCAGAGTGAAATTCTGAATGCTTTATTAGCATTAAAAAACAAAACAAAAAACCAATGGCATTCTTCTAGTGGATTTATGCTTGAGCTGCTTGAAGGGATGTGGATCCTCTCTTCTTCGGTCTGGGTCAGTGTGAAACCTTGGACACTGTACTGCAGTAACATTTACATCAAGAAAAAGCCAGACAAAAAGAATTATAAAGTACAAAGCAACAAGTGTTTCAGAGAAGCTTAGGACTGGCTGCCGATTCCAGCGCATTCAAGTAAAAACAATAAATGTAATGTAGTATGGAATCGATATATACAGGTTATGCTTTGTAAGTATCGACAGTTACAGTAGACTGAAACAAAAAAAACAATCATAAAAGTACATGTTTAATCCTGGGAATAATGTCTGAGCTTCATTGTGTAGTCATAGTTTGCTCTCGGCCCCAGGTGAGGTCTTTTTCTCTGTCCTCACACCTTCAAAACGCCCTCAGCAGTGACCTGCTTATTCCACCAGTTGATTGTTTGGACAGATGACACAGTAGTGGCTTTGAAGAGGCTCTGGACAGCGGAAAAGCTTCAATAATCTTACAGCTGCGGCCGTCTGAGAAAGGAGGAAATGCCACTGATAGAAATAAAAAGCAAACAGACTGAATCAACCCGTTTCCATAGCAACTGGAGGAAAAATGGCCACCAAGGTCCTCTAAATTCTCCTAGAAGGCTTTACTCAAACAGCTTCTCAAATAGACTTGCAGTGACAAAATTGGCTTTCGGTTTGGAGCAACGCTATTATTTTTGTGTTGAAATATACAACTTAAACAATAGATTTTCATCCTTGTGTGTTTCAAAATTGATCTGACATACATGGCATGATTATTTTGTTGATTTATTGTTTCACTATACTGTAATTGTTTGTTGAAACATTTTGAAAAAAGGCGATAGCATTTTTGGCAGAGCCATGGGTGGGGATAGATGGGCAATGAACTAGTTCCGGGAAACATTGACTTATTTTTGTTTTAATATTGACTGTTAAATTGTCAATATCTAAATATCACCAATTTCAAAGGGCTTGAAAAAGTTGATTTCCTAAAGCGGTTTGCTATTAGAAAATCAAGTTAACTGCTGTTGTGATTTCGTGCTGTCCACAAAAGTAGTTCAGGAATATTCAAATATGCAAGGATTCATTTAAATTAAATGTTTGATTGAAAAAGATAAGTAGTACAAAATAATTAAAATCTGTTTTAAGAAAAGATTACAGTTTTTCTCTATTGCTTAAACATATTTCACGATACTGCCCTCCCTTTTCTCAAAACTCTAATCACAAACCTTTTTTCTAAAGTTACGTACACACAACAACACAGGTTCTTTTCAAAACCGACCCATCACACCAAAACAGTTTCTCATATTCTCAAAACCAACCCATCACACCAAAATACCTCTCATGGTCTGCAAAAATGTGAACACTATGAGCTTCATTAACTCCATCACCAAAACAATTGAAAACACAATTTTCAGAATGTGAGACTGTTCTTTTTTACAGTTTCACACCTGCCAGGATGCATTTGAGCAACACTTTTTTTATTCTCAAATATGTTTTGGGCCTTTACTATAGATTTGCGCGTAGCATGGGAATAGTTACATAATGCAGAAAATGCAGTTATATCAAAACTCAATGCAAACATGGGTACTGTAAATTCTATAGAGGATCCATCAGACACAATAGTCATGACGTGGACAATGACGTGGTCAATGACTGTTGCTCTTAGTTCATCTGTAACGGAAATGCGTTGTCTTGCTTGCCCTCCTCTCCCTCCTCTGACACGAACTCCTCTTCTTCTGCCTTGATTATCCATTTTCGTTTTGAACCTTCATCAAACTGCACTGACTTATAAAGGTGTGGTCACATCATTTGCAACAGATGTTTTCAGTTCTGAGTGGTTGTGTTTTCTGAATGACACCAGGTCTGTTCATTGTGTTCAGGTTTTGCTGACAGTGGGAGCCATGTTTAATCACATGAGCCTCACAATGATTATAGGAGCAGAGATACATGCAAAAAGTGTTTTAGCAAAGGAAAAATTTGTTTTTTAGAAAAAGGGCATGTGTTTTGTAAACAGTGTCTAAAGGAGAATTGTGTTTATGGTTGTGAGAAGTGGGGGGAAGTTTTAATAAATGTGTTTAGGCAATTGGTCATTTGGTTTAGAGTACTGGGTTTTGTGTTGTAGCAATAGAGAAAAACTGTAAAATTACAGTTTATTTTTGACCAGAGGATTGAACTCTTGGCCTTTGTTGGATTGTAGTGATTTCACACTAACCATGTAGGATCTTTACCAGTCTGTTCCAGTCCTGAATGTATTGATTTTGGTCAATTGTTTAATTAATAACAGATATTACATGTAAGTGAATGAGGACCCAAAAAGCAGGAATGCCAAAAAATAAGGGTTTAATGATAATAGAATAAAAGTCCAGGAGAAAATAAACTCAAAATCCAAAGGAGCACGGAACCAGGAACAGGAATGACAATACATTGGACCAGCAACAAGTGGAGAGAAGCGCCGGTACAAATATATACTAAGGCCCAGTCCCAATATGCGCACTTCCACCCTCACGCCCCTTGTTTGCGCGTTCCCGATGATGGATGCGAGTGCGAAGGGTGTCCCAATTCTCTTTTGTCCCGCCCCCTTTGCGCCCCGATCCACACTTCGCCGTAGTCGGCATCTATGCGCACTCTGGCGAAGGATATTGCCCATAATTCTTTGCGGTACACACCAAAACGTCGGGAAAATGCATCTAAATATAAGTTTTGAGATATATACGCAGTATGTGTGTAAATAAGTTTTCCTATGTTACTTGGAAAGAAGCACGAATGACTGATGAAGAATTACAGACATTCTAAGGTAACAATTTAATAACTTTTTAAAGCGAGCATTCATATAACATTCCATTTAAACTTTACACTTAGTACAATAAAGTTAGGATGTATAAAAACTGACCAGATAACAGCTAGTTACCCACATTTAACCCACATTTAACTTAAACTTATACAGCTATCTCAAATTACAAATGTATGTATTTTAACGTGTGGGGAGCAACTCATTTTGTTTCCCACAGGGTCAGACTTAATTACCTTTAATTTTTATATAAAGTTTAGGTCTGAGAATGACCATCTCTTGAAGAGTCGATGACGTAAACTGCACTCAGTGTGCACTGTCCCAATTCCGCCTTTTTTGCATACTCCAACCCTTGTGTGCACTTCGAACAAATGCACACTTCGTAGAGGTGTGTAGGGTGCAGTGTGGGTATTGGGATTGGGCCACAGAGAGACACAAGTGAAACACATCAGGGTGGGGCAGACTGTCACTCCCGTATTCGTCCCGGAAACCGGATTCGTCCGGAAGTTCAGTTTGCGCATGTCAGAGTGTGTAACATGTCCTTAAGTGGTGACAGGTTAAGTTTATGCGTCTGATTAAGATGGTTAAGTTTAGGGTTAAGGCTGGGTTGGGGTTATTGAATGGGAATGGCTGGTTAAGTTTAGGCATGAATAGGTAGTTTTTTATATTTACTTCCGCTTCCGTCCAGATTCCTGCTGTATGTATGCTCATTGGAT